TGAGTGATAAAAACACCATCTTTGCGTTGCTTTTACATTTTAAATCCCTCAGTTCTCGGCATCTCTGAAAAGCCAAGCCAATGTTGATTGTTTGTTTAAAACAGGAGATTGACCTGAGCTTAGAGATTTAGCGGCTCCATGTAAAAACCTTTTTCGCTCGTTCTGACAACTAACCTCTGCCCCTCTCTCACCACACACACGTCAAAGTAGCCGGAGCAACTTTACTCTGTTTACGGATATGAACAGGCTTTTGTTCAATTTCTCACGAAGACCCTCCCGACAGGTCTTAAATGTTAACAATTATATAATAGGCTTATCATAGTGAATCAGGGTACGACAAAAACATCTTTTGGAAGAAGGATTGATGATGCATTGATGATTTTGTTTATTTTGAGCAAATATTTTGTACATAGTTTGCATATAAATTAATACTTTTATTCATTAAGGATGTACAGTATCACACTATTACTGTTCGTTTTTGATCAAATTAATGCAGCCTTGGTGAGCAAGACTAAAATACAACTTTTTAAATGGTAATGTGTTTATGTTGACCCGGAGATCAGTCCTGTGAAATCTTTTTTTTTAAATTACAAATTCATTTAAACAACTATTTAATTTGCAACCAAGTATCAATATTTTAAGGAAGCACACGCTCTTATTCATATTAGGACAATTTTTGATAACTTATATTTCTGCAACTGTCCTGAAATTTTGCAAGTGAGTGGAAAAATGCATGAATTTTCAAATTCATTCATTATTTTCTCTCTGTAAAGCTGCAGTTAGACTCAAACCATGGAGAACAATGCAAAACCAACCTAAGCCCATTACTAAACATATTTGTACACATTCACACACACACTCACTACTTGTTCTTCATCATCAGACCTCATATTGCTCCCATTTCCTTTCGTTTGAAATTTCTTGATTTCAGATGTGTTTATTGTGTGTTGATGTGTGTACAGTGTCCGCTGTTGTCCTCGAGGGCACAGCATACATCTGTTCTGTAACTGATCTGAATCAAAGACTTACACACCACATGTTCTCAAGGTCATTAATGAGAAAACCCAAGAAGCTTTTACAAAACAACACTAAAAACACGTGTTTGCGTGTTAATTATTTGTTCCCACCTCCAAACTGGCTTTTGCTTTACTTATCCGAGATTGTGGTTTGGTGGACAACGGCATCCATGTTTTCTTTAGTCATTTTTTGGGTGCTGTTGTGGGTGTAATTGCTCTCAGATGCTCCTTGTGTTTTATTTCTGTTGACTCTCCAGTGGAAACAGAAGTTTTGACAGGAATCAAAGAACGTGGCGGGCTTTTGTGTTATTGCGGCGATGCTGCATATTTATAACACATGTTTTCGACCAGGTTCTTGTCTTTTCGCCACGTAAATGTTTTTCTCGGGTGCATTTTAACAATGTGCACTAGAAAGAGCGCCGCTTTCATGCAGGATTGTGGCAAAACAATGATGGATAAATGCAGTGGTGGAATGTAACGAAGTACAAATACTTTGTTACTTTACTTAAGTACATTTTTCACGTATCTTTACTTTACTTAAGTAGAATAAATAGTGCATACTTTTTACTTTTACTTCGTTACATTTTGCAGCAATTATTATACTTTCTACTCCACTACATTTCTACAACTTCTGTTACATTTTCTGATCAGTTTTTCCCCGGCCAAACCGTAATCTGACCGTCCGTTCGTTGCACTTTTGTCTCACCAGTGACGTTTGGTTGCCATTGATACATCAACTAAATGCGTCTCGCACGCAGTGTGTTTCGTGCAATTTATACGCGAAAATTTGTTTTTACGTGCATAGGAAACGTGTGTAATATACGTTTGGTTAGGATTATGGCAAGCCAAGAGGTTCAGAATTACACCATAAATGAATCGCGTTTACTGCCAAACATAGTTATTAACATATAGTAAGGATAAGCATGGTTTATATTGCCTAATTGCAAGCTTGTTTCAGAAATGGTGACATTTTTTTCCATCATTATTGAACATCATTATAGGAGTATTAGGTTGAATGAGTTAGAATTAAATGTTTTATTAATCATTAGTAAATAGTCATTAAGAGAATCAATTGTTATGCAAGTACTTTTACTTTTAATACTTAAAGTACATTTAAAATCAGGTACTTTTTACTTTTTATTTAAGTATGGTTGTCATTGTGTTACTTCTACTTTTACTAAAGTAAATATTTATCTGGTTATTTGTACTTTTACTTAAGTACTGAGATTCAGTACTTCCTCCACCACTGGATAAATGTACACTCTTAGAAAAAAGAGTTCAATGGGGTTTTATAATATATCAGGGGTTACTTTTTGTGTGTGTGGACCACTATTTGTAATCAAGAATTTTCACGGACCACCTCATAATACACATATTATGATATTAAAAATGTTATTATATTTTACATATTATAATCAGGTTCTTTTGAACAACAGGCTTATTTCCATAGCAATGGAGTATGAAATCTATACAGTAATAAGAACACTTGGATATAGTCAGCTTTTCAAAACCTTTGGCGATTTTAGGGGATTATTAACGTTAATATTCAGAGTTCTACAAGTCCTCAAAAAGTAGGCTTGAGTTTGTCCACTTAGCAGCACATCCGCAAAACATTTCAGAAACTCAAGATCAAGAAACTAACGTTAACTGGAAATTAAAATAATAACAGGCCTTATTCATTCCATTTAGAAACATTTTGTTTCATATAGGCCTAAACTGCCTATAAAGGCTATGCATGTGATTTGATAATGAAAACATATTTGCCAAACGTTAAAATAAAGTTGTGAAAAGGAAAAGCCATTGGAGTCTATTTGCCAGCCCGATATGAACGTAATATTCTCCTTTGTCACCCTCCACATCTTTCCCTTCCTCTTTGTATCGTCTGTCTAATATAGACCTATATTAAAAACAAACAACTAAATAAATGCTCACCTAACCTGTTGCTATCCACCGATCCGGTGTTGTGGTTCTGACGACACCAAGCTTGAACGTCACGGCCGAGCGCCACTTGCCTATTTTAGTAATCACACAATAGCTTGACAATTTAATTGTCATTTTATATAAATATAGGCCTACATATTCTTTTTACTTCTTTTTTTTTTTTTAATAGGAATTTCTTGGTAAAATATTTTATATTTTATTTTGCCTTTTCACGGACCACCTGCAGTACCTTCACGGACCACTAGTGGTCCACAGACCAGTTTGGGAATCGCTGCTATATATGAAGCGTATGGTTCTTTACTTAACTCTAAAGAAGCTTTTATGCTAAAAAAAAGGTTCTATAATGACTAGAAAGAACCCTTTTGTCACAAAGGTTCTTTATAGGCTATTATTTATTCATATATTACATTATTCTGCAACATTTTGTGATTGTAATTGTTGTGGTAACTTAATATCACATTTGAATCATGCTGATTTTTGGAGTAGAAACACTGAAATGGCACTTTTCGTGTGATATAAATATATACATTGACTAACCCCCATATCTTGAATTTTGTGATCATTCATAAATACATTTTAGTGTCTTGATGTTTGTCAATAAAATGAAATATTTAATCTGGAAAGGACAAAACAAATGATAATGAATGAACCCAACCCAAAAGGTTCCATATAGAACCTTTTTTCTGGTTACAAAGAACTATTATTGAACCATTAAAAAGGGTTCTATATAGAACCTTTTAGGAGTTCCAATTAGAACCTTTTAAGGTTCTATTTAGAACCTTTTCTTCTAAGGGTGTAGTCTCAAAGTGTCTTGTATAAAAGGCAGCTGTGCACACATGAAAGCATATGTCTGCCATCTGCAGGGTTTCTGTTTACATAAGATTATCTAATTAAAGAGGTGGTCATGTGATGATTGACGACCACTTGAGTGGATTGAGATTGAAAGCGGACTGCGGTCTACAGTCCAGTCGCGACCCGTCACGCTTGGCTTGCGCATCAGGCTGATATTTCAGAGTTATCTTTTCTTTAATTCTGTTTGAATTGGCCCGAACGCACCGGCCTCAGGTTCGCAGGACGTCTGTGGTGGTGATTTACGCATTCACCACTTGAACTAGATTTGTTGCACTAAACATGAACTTTTGTCCCGTTTCAGAGCTGAGTTGTTTACTGTTGAAAGCTCAGCTGTCTTTGAAGTAAATCTCTCTTTTTGTTTCCTAAAGCTTTCACAGTGAAACTTTACCCAAGTTCAAAAGTGCAGCTTTTAGCCACTTTTATTTGAATTCTGATTTGTACATACACTACCGTTCAGAAGTTTGCTGTAAGATTTTAAAATAATTTATTCAGCATGATGCATTGCATTTAATCGAATAAAAGTGACCGTAAATACATTTATAATTTCTGTTTCATTAATTTCAGATGAATGACGTTCTTTTGAACAGTCTATTCATCAAAGAATCCTTAAATATATATTACGGTTTCGTCGGAAATATAATGAAGCACAACCGTTTCTAACATTGATGTTAAGAAATGTTTCTTGAGGATCAAATCATCATATAGAATGATTTCTGAAGGATCATGAGACACTGAAGACATGCTGAAAAAATCAGCTTAAGTTGCAAGATTAAATTACATTTTAAAATGTAGTCAAATAGAAAACTAGTAGTTCAAATGGTAATATTTTTTGACAAAAGTACTAATATTTAAAGAAAATATTTAAAAAAGTCACGCCAACCCAAAAGTATTGAACGATTGTGTATGTTGGCCTGAAGTTGTTTTACTTACTAAGTAAATTTAGATTCCAAGTCAAAAGAAACATTCATTGAAATAGAAAGTTATTTTAAATATATATATCAAAAAGTCACAATATTACTATTTTACTTTTAATCAAATAAATGCAGCTGTGGTGAGCATAAGAGACTTCTTTCAAAACGGTATTGCATTTAAAAGGGCAACTCCAAATCAATCAATTTATTGAATAATGCATAATGCAGATGATATCATTGTCACTATGTTGTTTTGACCATTGGCTGTGTGTGTTTTCAGCTGACGGATGGAGGAAAGGCTGGTAAAGCGGGAGTCGCTGTGCGAGATCTGGTCCTGTCCATTGATGGCATCAGCACTGAAGGCATGAACCATCTTGAGGCTCAGAATAAGATTAAAGCCAGCACAGACAAACTCAACCTCTCGTTACAGAAGTAAGATCATGCATGCACTGCTTTGGGAATTGGCTAAATAAATGAATATATATATATATATATATATATATATATATATATATATATAAATAATATGCTAAAAAAACGACATGCATTTTGAACACAAAAATATAGGAAATAGCACTTGTTTTTCTCTCAGGGTGATAACTGAAGTCCACTCACTGAATTTAAAATTAGATCATGTGACAACAATAGAGCATTGTACTTTTTGAAATCTTTATTATTTATTTATTTTTGATTAACTAGTTTTTATTTATTGTATATTTTATTTGTTTATAATAAAATAATAATAATTATTATTAATGTAATTATTATTTATTTATTTTCTCTCAATGTGATTTTATTTATTTTCTAAGGTTTGAAATGTTTATTTAGGAATAATGCCTTCTCTTGCACTTTCTTTTTTTTTTAATATAGTTTTTTTTTTAACTTGTTAAGCTGCAAACATGACATAAACGGTCTCTGAAATGTTCCAAGACATTTGATAGCTTTGTGTGAGGAACAAAATAAAATTTGAAATGCCACTGAAAATCTTACCTTTATTTAAATCTCACTAAAATCTTACCTTTATCTAAATTTAAAGAAAGCTCTGACAACTAAAAAAGTAAAAATTGAAACCATCTCTACCACCCATGTTGTCATGTTGCAGAATCGCAAACACTCATTATCTATCGTTAATGCAGTAAACTAGTGGAGCACAATTGTCCACACTTTTGAATGGTAAGGTATGTGTTTTGGAACCAGAGTAAGTGTGTTTTGCTTGAGTGTGTGTGCCAGCTTCCCTGTTTTGTCCACTAATGGAAAATTTTGTCTCACTGTCAAGCCATGGGAAACACACACACACACACACACATGCTGACACAACAGACTCAGTGTGCCCAGTGGTGACAGAAAAACACTCATGGATTGGTCTAGTGGAAGTGAAAACAGAGAGAGAGAGAGAGAGAGAGAGAGAGAGAGAGACTGGCAGTGATGGACAGATAAATGAGCTGTGTCAAACAGTATGAATATGGGAGAAAATCAGATACAGGCCTAAATGTAAGATTTTAATTGCTTATAAAATTTCTATCCATTTAGATTACACAGTTTTAACATAAACAAACCAATAAACTTAAAGGGACACTTCAGGATTTAGCATTAAGCTTTGTATTAGTAGAAAACCTGTAGTATTTTCAAATTACCTACCAATGTTTCCCACCCTCATATCCCCCTGAGATGAGAGATTTATGTATTTTTTTTGTCTGGAAAAAATCCTCAGATGACACAAAAATCGTCATTTTGCGTCACCTCCTGAGGATTTTTTGTCTAGAGGCTAAAGACTACAGTCAGTAGTCGGGTCTGTCCCGCATGTCCTCAACCCGCCCCTAGAGGGCGATCTCACTCACAGAATGAACACATAGTGTCGGCCATCTTGTTTTGGAAGCTAAGCTAGCAGACTCTTGTTCTGTGGAGAAAGCTGAGTAGTAGGGGTTACCGTCCTCTTTTTTCCGGACATGTCCGGCCGTCGATGTCCGGGATTCAGCTTTTGCTTTCTGCAGTCGCCATTCATTGTTTACATGCACAGCTTTTGTTTCAATCTAACTGAATTAATCCCGATTGGTGAATCTGAATGTAGTGTTTACATGAACGCTAAACAAGTGATCGGTTGATGTGTGTTTTAACATTGCTGAGAAAATTCCCGCTCCTCCGTCAGAGATACGAGACCGGTGCGTCTCACAGGTGTCGCTCTGGCATCGGTAATCACGCCACCGGCCTCGCGCCGTTCTCCCGCGGCCCTCACTCGTCCCGCTCGCCACAGGAAACATGATGAACGGCGACTGTAGAACGCAAAAGCCGAATCCCGGACATTTTGGGCGATCTCGAAACATATTTTCAGGCAGACTCATCACGAGACTCACTAGTAGCCTAGACTTGTTGTTTAACGACTGCGCTCTGTTACCGGTAGGCGTGGCCTCCTAGGGCAGTGAAGCAAGTGCATTCTGGGAGTTGTTGTCTTTCATCCACATAAGCCAAAAACACATTTTCTGACTTTTCTCAGTCCAGAAAGCTCAGAATTCAAAAATAATTTCACATTTCTTCTACATAAATGACCCATTTTAAATACACCAGAGGTGAAGTATCCCTTTAATGTGATGCATATTTGGGACTTTGCAACTTTGAAGACTTTTTTTTTTTGTTCAAACATATAAAAAAGCATAATTCGTCCTCTCCACATAAAAGAAAATAGATGCAAATAATTAATAACAAACTACTGTATGATATGCTTTTATTAGTGCAGAGTATGCAGGTTTATAATGTTAAAACTGTGTAATCCAGATTTTTTTTTTTTTTTACTATTAAAATCAATTCTTACATGTATGCCTAAATATGTAAGACAATTGACTTCATCTCACCTATGTTCAAATACAGTGACAGCGATGGCAAATGAATCACATTCTCTTAGTTTTACTGGGGCTTAGTATTAATAGAACTATACCAGCATCAGCACCATCTGAAACCAGCAGTGTGTGTGTGTGTGTGTGTGCATACTTATTGAAGTGTGATATGCAGACCTTCATAGTTTATCTGCTGTACACCCAGCTCTATGCAAGTATGTGAAAGCACACACTTATCATGAGCTTGATTTCATGCATTTCTGAAATGTGTCAATGCAATAATGTTGCGATCTCAGTCTTTGATTCGAGAAGGACCTTGCCGAGCAATTTGGATCTTATATTCACGTTTATAGCAGCAACCAACGACATTGCTCACTTGACTACTGTAGTACATATACAGGGGTTGGACAATGAAACTGAAACACTGGCCAATGTTGGAGGTTTCACATCTATATGCCTGGCGGCCAATCTTCAGAGTGAAGCACGGGTGGATCAGTGATGGTTTGAGCTCCAATATCATGACAATCCTGATTGTATTTGATGGACACGACCAGGGCTGGACTGGGACAAAAAATCAGCCCTGGATACTTCATCCAGACCGGCCCACTATGCACACACACACACACACACACACACACACACAAACACACACACATCTATACGTGCATTAATCTGCATGTAAAATTACTGATTAGATTTTATTTACTATCAGAACCAAGAAAAAAATATTAAAATAATAAACAAATAAAATGGAAATGATTTTATAAGGCTTTATTGTAAATAACTGGTCTTAATTTATGTGCCGCTTATTATTCTAATAGAATATTCTTAGGCTATATACTATATAAACTATATTTCATGAGGTGCAACATCACTGCCAGGACCTTGTAGGTCCTGGCAGTGATGTTTCACCTCATGAAATATAGTTTATATAGTATACCTATATTTCATTTATACTATATCATTTATATAGTGTATATAGTATATATATATATATATATATATATATATAAATCATTGTTAAAGCTATTAGTCAAGAGCAGTGAGTTATTTATCTTTGTCTTTTGTTCACATTTAGCCTATGACACATAAGGCTTCTGCCAGGCACTTTCAGGGATACAAATTGAAAAAAAATATATATATGTGCATATTTATATGCAAAATACTCCTTTCTATAGCTATTTGAAAGGTATGCAAGTATGCAAAATACTCCTTTCTATAGCTATTTTTCAAGTCAACTATGTGCTATTGTCATTAAATGGCTTTCCTGAGGTAACTGTAACGTTCTGTGACATAATTGTTCTACTGCTGTTTTATTAATCTCTTTCCGTTGTTGAAAAGCACTGATTGATATTATTTATGAGGCATATACCGTTTGATAAGTTGTAGGCTATTGTATCTTATCTTTAAATAAAAAGTAACAGATGATCGGTTTACTTGATCTGAGGCGCTAAAGCGACCTGTCACGTTATTTTCTAGCGGCAAAACGGTATTGTCTGAATTTCGTAATAAAATGGACAGAACCAGAGAGCTGAGAATTTTAAATGTCATTTATATCGATCAGTGAGTGGAGGCCTATTACAGCTGGAATATCGTAACATGAAACAAAACAATGCAGAAGGCTACGTGTAGCCTATCATTCTAAATGTCTCACCTCAGCAGTCAGGCGCGCCCTGCTGACATCTTCACTAAAGTCCAGCAAATAATTCATTTATTTTAACACATTTGGTGGCATCTGCCTCACGTTATTGTCGTTGTCTTGTCGTTTTTTCTCTCTCGACTTCTCGGTCCCCCTTTACGTTTAGAGATGTTACTCTTTTGACATGAATTTCGTTGCACATCATCACATCGCATCACTGCAGTTGTTGTAAAGCGGCCGCTTTTCAAGTCTAGATTTGAACTTGATTCCGATTGGCCATCAGACCTGTTAGTCTCGCAGCTCGCGTCAGCTTCATGCGGCTTCATGAGAGAGACACATGCCCGGAATTGGACAATAATATAACAATATACTTACGATAGAATAGGCTATATTTACAATTAATAATGATTTAAAAACAAAATACATAACGCGCCGGGCCGCCGGCCCAACCAGACCGCGGCCCACCGGGAATGTCCCGGTAGTCCCGATGGCCAGTACATGCCTGGACACGACACTGCCGAGGACTACCAAACCCTTCTGGAGGATCATGAGCACCTGATGCTCATGATCATGCACCAACACACACAGCAAGACTTGTGACAGAAGGGTTTGATGAAGATGAAAGTGACGTTGAACATCTCCCATGGTCTGACAGTCACCAGATCTGAATATTATTGAGGTGTTTTGGAGGAGCGAGTCCACCAGCATCATATAGTGACCTGGACACTGTTCTGGAAGAGGAACGGCTCATAATCCCTCTGGTCACTGTGAAGGACTTCTATCTGTCAATTGGTGCTGTGTTTGGATGCAAAATGAGGCCCTCACCATTCTAACAAATTATTGTGTAGTAAAACCAGGTGTTTCAGTTTTTTTGTCCAACCCCTGTACGCAATTAACAGGCGCTTTTACCCACTACAAAAGGATACTTACAAAAAAAAAAAACGTACTTTTGTTGCATAAATTGC